TAATTGCTCATGTTTCTGAAGGAGAGAGTGAAGATGTTAATCGTGCAGTTGCTGCTGCCCGCAAGGCATTTGATGAAGGACCATGGCCTAGGATGACTGCTTATGTAAAAATTTCCTTTCTATTTACTTATTTTTTCAACTACAGTCATATTTATGTTATTATAAGGGGATATCTACTTGCATGAACAATTTTCACTTAATTCTTGTTGTAAATATGTGCAGGAAAGGTCACTTATAATGTTTCGGTTTGCTGATCTGCTTGAAAAACACCGTGAAGAAATTGCAGGACTTGAAACCTGGGATAATGGGAAGCCTTATGAACAGTTTGCTAATATTGAGTTGCCAATGGTGATCCGCCAATTCCGGTACTATGCTGGTAAGTGAAGGAAAAAAATTGGAAAAGAACCATAACATGATTTTGTTTATGGCTTTGTCTCTCTATTTATTTATTTATTATTATTATTATCTTTATGTTACTTGGGTTAGAATTCTAAAGCTTCTCCTCTCCCCATCTTAATCAGGTTGGGCTGACAAGATTCATGGACTCACTGTTCCAGCTGATGGGCACCTACATGTCCAAACCCTGCATGAACCTTTTGGTGTTGCAGCACTTATTGTTCCTTGGAATTTTCCTCTTCTATTATACTCTTGGAAAGTTGGTGCTGCTTTGGCATGTGGAAACACAGTTGTTGTAAAGACTTCCGAACAGACACCATTATCCGCTCTCTATGTTTCCAAGCTATTCCATGAGGTATGTAGCTCATAATATCCCATTTCGAAAGATCTTTCCTTGCAATTTCCATAATATACTGTGTAGAACTACCATTGGTAAATGCATGCCAAATCAACTGTTAAATAAGCCTGTCTCAGTATACATCTGAACATTCTTCTTCACATGTCAGTCAAGATGAAAATTGTGTATTTCAGTATCTTACTATGGGTTTTCACATCTCTTGAAAGCTTTTATAGCAGGGAAGATAAAACCTAGTTTATATTCCTCCTGGTTTCCTTGGTAATGATATGAAATGCTCATCATTTCCATGTTTCAGGCTGGACTCCCTCCTGGTGTTCTAAATGTGATCTGTGGTTTTGGTCCTTCTGCAGGTGCATCCCTTTGTAGTCATATGGATGTGGACAAGGTATTTTACAATGTCTCACAATTCATTTTTCGATTCAAGGTAGCAGTATGAAAATGATATAATTACAATAACACATGGCATTGTAACCACTATGTTACGAGAGGACAGGTTGAAGAAGTAGATGAAGGGAAAATTTTAACCACAACGTTATTTGGTCCATCTATAGATGGTGTGAGATTTAAGAAGACTTGAATACTAGCTTTGAGGTTACACAACCAAAACTGTTTGAATACTCTCTTTTCAGGTGTCTTTCACAGGGTCAACCGATACTGCAAAGACTGTACTTGAACTGGCTGCAAAGAGCAATCTCAAATCAGCAACTTTGGAGCTTGGAGGAAAATCCCCTTTCATTGTGTGTGAGGATGCTGACATTGACAAGGCTGCTGAGCTTGCACATTCTGCACTGTTCTTTAATCAGGTTTGTCCAATCAAATCTCTAATGTAACTGCATTAAGTATAAGAAGTATGAACAGTTCCCTTGAACATGAAGTTTGCTAATAATAAGGGTTCAAAACATGTGTTTACCCTGCAGGGCCAGTGTTGCGTTGCTGGTTCTCGCACTTTTGTGCATGAAAGTGCATATGATGAGTTTGTAGAGAAAGCAAAGACTCTTGCACTGAACCGGGTAGTTGGAGATCCATTCAAAAAGGGCGTCGAACAAGGACCTCAGGTAACCCTTTTCAAGTTTGCAGGAATTTCTGCTTTATCTTCCACCTTTTTGGATCAATGCATATTTCTCAAGCAGGCCATTTATCATATGGAACATTTTTGACATTTCCTCAAAATGAATACCGAGTCAACCTTGACTCTTTTGCATCTGTTGTGAATGATTTAGATTGATAATCGGCAAATGCTGAAGATCCTCAAGTACATAAGGTCTGGCATTGAAGATGGTGCTACTCTTGAAGCTGGAGGTGAAAGATTTGGCTCAAAAGGCTGCTATGTACAACCTACTGTTTTCTCAAATGTCCTGGTATAGATTCTTATCACTATAATGCTAAGTATCAAATAAATAAATCAAATTTTTTAAATGAGGAAAAACCAGGGCTAAAATTATTTTACCTCTTGCAAAACAGGATGACATGTTGATAGCAAAGGATGAGATCTTTGGTCCTGTGCAGTCGATCTCAAAGTTCAGGTATGTACATTTGCCTTTTTATTTCTAGGAGGTTTGTTGTTCCTTAATGCATTGATTTCCTAACAGTAATCTGGAGGAGGTAGTCCGAAGGGCAAATGCTACTCGCTATGGACTAGCTGCTGGAGTTTTTACTCAGAATATTGACACTGCCAACACCTTGACCCGTGCCCTACGTGCTGGAACAATATGGATTAACTGCTATGATATCTTTGATGCTGCAATTCCTTTTGGTGGTTACAAAATGAGTGGCCAGGGAAGAGAAAAGGGACTCAATGGACTTACTAATTACTTGCAAGTTAAGGCTGTTGTCACTCCTTTGAAGAACCCGGCATGGTTGTAGTTTTCCCTACAAAATTTCAGTATCTGTGGTTGACCGGAAACTAAGTTTATCTGCACCTTGCATTTGCTATAAAGAATGTATATTATGCAGATTCCTAACTAATTATGTTACAGCATCTGAATAATTTTATGGTTAAAATATCAAGTTGCTCTCTTAACTTTCAAATTTATACTAAAAGCATCTTCTAACTTCAGAAAATATCATATTTATCCTTAAATTTTAATTTTTTATATTAAAATAATCCTTTCGTTAACAAAAGTGTCATGCGACTTATTATTTTGCTGCAAAATTAGTTCTTTTGTAAATATTGATGACATGCAAAATCAAATAATCATATTTTGCTATTTTGGCATATTTCCATTTATGCATTCAGTTCTAGATTGACATGTAATCAAAGTTAAAAGACCAAATTAATATTTATAATAAAAGATCAAGAACTATTTTGATATCAAAAATTAATGTTTAGGGACAATATTAGTGTTTTTTGAAGTTAAAGGACAATTTCAATACAAATTTAAAAGTTGAGAGACTAAATTAGTATTTTAACTTAATTGTATTCTAATTTTGATATATATGAAATAATAAAAAATTTTGTCTATGAGCTCTATCCTCGGTCTGGTGTAGATAGAGGAGTAGAGGCCTTTTCCCTTCTTGATGTGTCAAGGGCCATCTCCCAGAGTCATAACAACTTCATCCATAAAGGGTCCCTATTGTTTTGCCGCCGTGCATGATAGAGCAAGCTGAAATGTGAGATCAAAGGACATCTGTTGAGTACTCCCCTTCAAGTTTGGGATCTGCAAATGCCATTATGCTGCCACCTCTACTTAGGACTCTAGCCTCTCAAGCAGAAACCTAGAATTAGTACAATATCAATGAAGAATCAACAGAGAATTGGAATTTTTTTAGGGAAGTATTTTATTACCACTTAGCTCAATATCATTGGTTGACATGTTTGGCTTATAAATTTACTTTTATACTTTTAATGAAATTATTTTCTTAACATAATTTCATTATAGGTGTTTTTTTGAATCAGTTTATTGGATCTATTGGTTCATCCATCAAATCTAAGAGTTTGATTTAACTTTCACTTACTACTTGAAATAAATCTCTCTTCCCCAAAATTCCCCTATGTTCAAAAAAAAAGAAAAATTAAAGGTATTTTCCTTCCTACAATTTTGGGATTGCAATGGTTAACTGAGGGAGGTAGTCTGCTAAAGTTTAGGGGCTGGATGGATTCCCTAATAATTGTTGTAGATAAAGTAGGGCAGGAGGATGGGGCATATTCCCATCTTATTTTTTAGTTTCCTTTGAAAAGTTAGGGCAGAAAATGATTAGGTTGACTTTCACGAGTTATTAATTTTAGGTGTTTTGACTTATATTATTGTTATTAAGGTTTGATTTCCCTAATAATAATAATTATTATTATTAAATACTTTCTCTAATGAGATTTAAGTCGATTTTATTTTAAATTTGTTAATATTTAATATAATTTTAAATACAAAGAGATTTAGTATAAAAATAAAAACCTAAGTGATTAGATGGTGTATAGAGTAGGGTTGAGTTTAAGAGTTTCTGCGATTTTCCTGACACTGTTTATTAAGGTTTTAAACAAATTATATGAAATTCTAGTTAGTGTTAGGTGAGATTGGTGATGGTCCCTTCTTCTTCATTTTCACCTACAGCCCCAATATCTCCTATTTTCATGCTAGTAAATTAAAAAAATTTCGTTTCTATCAGAAAAATATATGTATACATATATATATATATATATATCAAAATCTAATTTTACAATCTAAATTGATTTAAATTATAAGATAAAATTTATTTAATAAACAAGTATGGTATCGCATTTGAGTTTTTGGTCCAGTGACGTCAGGTTACATATAAGTGCATTTTTTCTTTCGAATGTAACGGTTCGAATTTCATTTCTTACGAATTTGTTCAAAAAATAAAAAATAAAAAATAAACAAGTATGGCATCGTTTTCATATTTCGGTCCATGACAATACCAGGAATGTTCCATTTTATTCTTTGGACTTTTTGCATGTTAGAACCTCTGCCAAAATCTCTGAAAAATACTTTTCTTCAACATTAATACTTATTGATATTTTGACTTTTAGACATCAATTTTAAATAAAAATTTAATGTAATATATAAATAATAATTGAATTTTTTTATTAAATAAAACTACTCTACTAGAATTATATATGCGAAAAAGAAAATTTTCATTCATACACTTTATTAAATTTTTATATAAAATTAATATCGAAAAAGTGAAATTAACAATAGTTTAACGGAGGAGTTAAAAAAAAAAAAGAAAAAAGAAAAAAGATCATTTAGATGGACCATATTCATTTTGGGCTTTATCAGCTTCAGCCCTGTTGGTTTTTATAAAATTTACAAGTTAAGGCTTCGTTCTTAGAACTGATTGGGCCTGGACGGGGCCTTGCTAAACCCAGTTATGTTTCCCTTATAATCAGCATTAACATATCTGTTAGAAAATCAAGAACGCAGACCCTTCTGATTTTCTGCGATTTTAGGGTTTTGTAAGCATCGTAGTAATGGAGAAAGAAGCCAAGGCTGCGACTGAACATCCCAAAATCGATTTGTTCGAGGATGATGATGAATTCGAAGAGTTTGAGATCAATGAAGGTAATTTAATCGGATTTTCTTTTGGTTAATTTTAGCAAAATAATTGAATGATTGATCCAATTGAATTTATCAGATTAGGGTCTAATCGAGCATTTGGGAATTTCAAATAATGTAAAATTGAAGAGTATTGATATGATGAATTGAGTTAAAGACACAGAAACAGGGTTTTATGTCCATCAATTTGGTATAATGTTTGAGAAGTTAAGCCTGGAATGGAGAACAAGAAAGCAGCATATCCTTCAATTGTTCATAACTCTGTATGTTATCTTTTATGATTTTTCATTCAATAGTATCTCTCTATGACAATGTTCAAATTAGAAGCAGAAAAGTTTGTGTTGGCTTTTTTTGAGAAGACTGGTGACATGGGAAACTGGATTTTCATCTAAAGAACTTAAAAGAGTGATTCCCCTTTGGTTAGAATCCGCAATGGATTCTATTTCAAACCTATTCAAATTGCAGATTACTGCTGATAACTCACAAGTGTAATGTAGCTATGGTGTATATATATTGTTGAAGCTACTTCAAGTATGTTTATGATATGATTGTCTCCTAGTAATTATACAATAAGATTAAGAGTATTAAGTTTCCTTACTACCTAGTTGTCTCTTACCATTGGACAGAATGGGATTACAAGGAAGAGGGGAAGGAGACGACGCAGCAGTGGGAGGATGATTGGGATGATGACGATGTCAGTGACGACTTCTCTTTGCAGCTGAGGAGAGAATTGGAGACCAATGCTGAGAAGAGCTAATCTGTAATGTGTTCTTATTCTGTCAAAACATTATATATAGTTATCTTTCTATAAGACTAATGTACTCTTGAAGGTTAACATTCTATTTGTTCTTAGAAAACCTGAAAGATTTTCTGTATTACTACTTTTACCTTTAAGACATACTTTATAAATATGAAAGCGTTTGTGCTTTCCTTGTTTTAGCTTGGATGATTGCCCCTGGAAAGTGATTAACCCAATGTTAACATGTCATGTGTTCTGTTTTAGAAGAATTTAGAGATTGCTGCGACTGTTGTGTGGACAGGTTGGTATTCATGATATCAGATTATCTGTTCGGAAATTGCTTTGCTGCTGTCTTTGCCGTTCTGAGCTTGCTTATGGCCAAACAAACATTTGTTAAGGTCATAAAAATATGGTAGAGGTGTTTGGTTTGATTGTTAAAAATAATTAATAATTGTAATTGTTAATTAATAATATATAAAATAATTAATATTTATTACTTAATAAGTTAATATTTTTAAACATCTTAATCAGTTATAAAAAATCAGTCCAATCAAATAAAATTGTAGTATATTTGTGTGGGATAGCCATGATCATTCCAGAAGAAACTACGCGGCCTACGCCGCACAAGTTTTTTGACAACTACACGCTTAGTCCTAACTGCTAATCCTTTCAAGACGAATATGCACAGGCACTAATTCTTGTTTCCTAGCTCTTTAATCAGCAAGTCTAGCGTGAGCCATGATGACCCACTGCCCTCCTTCAAAGCCTTGTTCGCCATCTCTGCAACTTCCTTCACCTTCTTCTTCACCTCCTTCCCCGTTTCTCCCTCCATCAACTCCTTCACCATCTTCTTCAACCCCTCCGATTTCACAAACCCTCTCACTTTCCCATCACACATATCCACCCTTAGCCCCACCTTTATCTCCTCACTCACCATCCTTGCATTCAGCGGTTGCTCCGCTATCATTGGCCACGCCAGAATAGGCACTGCTGCACATATGCTCTCTAACACAGAGTTCAATCCGCAGTGGCTCAGAAACCCCTGAACGCTTTGGTGCATCAGAATTTCCCACTGATCCACCCACTGCCTCACCACAATGCCTCTGTTTTTCAGCCTCTCCTCAAACCCATCTCCTAGCTCCGACTCTGTCTTCCTTATTACCCACAAGAAGTTCACCTTGGACTCCTCCAGCCCCTTAGCTATCTCTTTGAGCTGCTCTGCAGATATCTCCGCCTGACAAAGGAAGTAATATAAAATTTTTATTGAATGTTAGAGACAAAGTCATATATAATAAAAGAAATTCTGTTTCTCATGGTGAGACAGCGATCCTTACCTGCGACCCGAATGCTACGTAAAGAACAGAGCACCCTGCTTCTAGCTTTCCATCTAGCCACTGAATCCAGGAGGGTTTTGGTTCGTTTTTTGCTAATTTGATTGGCTTGGCCAGGCACAATGGTCCGACGCACCATAGCTTGACTTGGTCCTTCTGGTTACAGTAATCAACAAAAGTTTGCTCCATCTCGTAGAAACTGTTAACGATCATGCCGTAGCTGTTTGATGTCGATAAAACTTGGTCTATGAACAATTCCAATCCGGCCCCTTTGTGTTCAGGGTTCAAAAATGTTGGTTCAAAATCCCTTTTAGTAATTCCAATCCATGGAAATGGAGTCACTGTAATCAACTCGTCCTCTGACTCTGACCCGAGTAGAAGCAGATGCTCTCTGACTGCTCTCGAAACAGAGTAAGCATAACCACTCAGTCCATAAAATACCAATCTTGGGAACCCGAACTTTGATGCGGATTCCTGAGTCCACCAGAGGAATCCATCGGAGACCATGAAACTCACCGGTGGGAGACTCTGGAGCTCTCTTTCGAAGTCGGGTTGCATTTGCTTGGTTGCCCAGCAGAAGGGAACGAAGAGGGAAATAGAAGGGAGTTTATCGGTGCTTTCTACACCGGATGGGATTTCGGGGATGTTTTGCGGGAAGGGGATGGAGATGATGGATGCATCAGTATCGGAGAGGAAGTTGGAGACGAAGGGAAGGTTTCCGGGGGTGGTGAAGACAGTGACGGTGATGCCACGGCGGCGGAGTAGGAGGCGGGCTAGGTTGAGGATGGGTATGGTGTGGCCTTTGGACATGAATGGGAAGAGAACAACATGGTTTGTTGCTACTAAAGAAGAGTTTGCTTCCATCTTTCTTCCCCCTTCAATTCGCTTTGCTTGAGAGGAAAGTATGAATGCGTATTATGGATGTGGGAATATATAGACATCTTGGTAGGCAATGCA